ATCGTTCGATAGGCTAAATTGCACAAAACGCATGATCGCACCGGCTAGTCTGGTGCGCGTTGCTATCTATTTTTGCTCGATTCGAACCAAGGGTTGCGGATGAGAGGTGCAATTTGCATGTGTAGTTGGGCCAAGTGCGTACAAATTTAGTTTTGCTCAGTGAAATAATAGACCAACAGGATTGTACGCAGGCCATGTGTATGGTGTTATTTTATGGTGCAAACTGCCTTTATCTTTTAGATGTAGTGGGGTGATATTTTTCACGATGCAGTCTCCGTGTGTTTCATCCCTTAGCTGTAAACACAGACCGGAATATGCATGCGGATAGGAGTGGGAATCGTCAGTACAGCCTCCTACCCGAAATTTGAAAGCTCATTCCAAAACTGGGATTTGCTGGAAAGTTAACAGCTACGTTCGCAGAACTTCAGCCCTCTTGCAGATCTGATCGAGGAGTTCAAAATGCGACGCATTCTCGGAAGATCACATTCCTATGCGATTTTCATGTTTCAGTAGGTGGGAGAAGTTTAAAAAAAATATTTTTAGGTGAAAACAGTCGATTAAGACATCACGGTTGCCCGTCATGACCGACGTTTGGAAATCGAATGCCAGGAAATTCTGTGAACTATGCAAGGTTATTTCTTTTAATAAAAAATAGCTTCACGTTTTTTCGTTCCAAATTTTCACATAAACCTCAAAAAATACTGATTTATTTTGTAATCTGGCAAAAAATCGCATTGTTTTTATGCGTTTTTTGCTGTGTAACAGCAGTACAAAACACATATTATCATGGCATTGTTTGTGTGTGTGTCCCACATTTTGTCCCGCGATTTCAACTCAGGAATCACAAAAGCTAAGCGACTGAAATTTTGGTATAGTGTTCCCCGCCAATGGGTGACGCGGCAAATTTAAATTCAGCTTTCCCGTACCCGCTGGTAACACGTACGGCTCCGTAAAAGTTTTGACGGTAAACTATTATCACGGGAAATACGGAACCTAGGAAGCTGAAATTTTAGGGTAATGATCCCTGCCCAACTACGGCCTCGCAAATTCAGTGTTCCCACCCTCTCGGGTATTACTTACCTCCACTTGAAACTTTTAGCAGGTAAACTATTGTTTTGGGAACCACGGAAGCTTGGAAGTTGAAATTCTGTGGGTATTTCTCCTGCCCACATGCGACCCAGAAAATTTAAATTCAGCCTTTCCGTACCCGCCGGTAACACTTACGGCCCTGTAAAAGTTTCGGCAGGTAAAATCATTATCTTGTAAACCAGGGAGGCGAAGAAACTAAAATTTTGTGGATATGTCCTCTGCCCACGTGCGACCCAGAGAACTTAAGTTCAACCTTCCCGTGCCTGCGGGTAGCACGAACAGGCTTGTAAAAGTTTTGGCGGGTAAGATCATTATCTCAGGAACCGCGGAGGCTAGGGAGCTGAAATTTTATGGGTATGCCTGTTGACCACATGCAACCCAGAAAATTTAGGTCCAGTTTTCCCATCCGTTTGGGTATCGCGTACGGCCTCGTAAAAGTTTTGGCGGAAAATTGTCTCGGGAACCATGAAAGCTAGGAAGCTGAAATTTCGGAGCGATATTTTCTGCCGCTGCAGATATCTTATAAACTCAAATTTGGCTCCCAGGTATGCAGAGGTCTTATGTAAGATCACGTGAGAATTTTGATGTGAAAGTTACTAGCTCGGAAGCCGGAAAGCTAGAAGTTTGAAATTTGAAAAAATGTTCCTCATCCATGTCTTCAAATTCAGCTTTCACGTACCAGCACGTAAAATTTCCAGTTGGAAATTCCTTACCTTAGAAGCCAGACAGAATATCTACTATTTTTCTATATATGAAAGTGTAAAACACTTATATTTTTAGTAAGCAAACGTCCGCTGGACGGAACTGCGCAAAATGCATGATCAAACCGGCTACCCTGGTGCACTTCGCTATTTATTAATAAACGTAGCAATTGTGCGATTAAGATTGTTGAGCAGCAGTGAATTTGAAGGGGTTTGGATGGCGAAAAAGAAGAGGACGATAAAAAAACCGTGTTTTTCATAGTTATAGAGAGTTGCAACTGTTTTTTATCTATAAAAAGTCCATAAACACGTTCTCTGATGCTAGAAAATATCCTTTGATTGGGCAAGCAATTG